AAAAATAGACAATATTGGTCCACTCCATCAAGTACCTCCCACACAAAGGTTCAAAATTTTGAATAATTATAATTCTTATAAAATGTGATGTGAGAGTCTGATCGTATTCAAGTCTCACACATCACAATACTTTTATTAACTCAAGGTCTGGTGTGAAGATGGAATATATCGTTCCACTCCTTCTGTTACCCCACAAAGGGTCAAAATTTTGAATATCCATGAAACTCATAAATCGCCAAATTACCCCCCGATTCTCTCTAGACTTGACACATCTCAATATTTCCATAAACACAAGATTTGTTAAAAATATGGTAGAAATCGGACTTCTACTTCTGGAACATTCCCCATAAATGGGCCAAAATGTTGAATAAACATGAAGCTCATAAAACGCGAAACAAGCATCCGATTATTTTTAAGCTCAGCACATCCCAATATTTCTATTAACACAAAATCTGGTGTAAAGATGGAATATCTCGGACCACTTCTTTTGGGTCAATATTTTGAATAATTATATATCTCACTAACAAGTGTCCGCTACTTCGTCAGCGAAAAGTCGCTCAAACTTTGATTCTTTCCAAGAGTTCGAGAGTTCTCAAAATGCATAAACAATCCTCAACTCTTCATCCACGACTCTAACAGTGACAACAACAAAATTTAGTACCATTAATAATTTTCCAAAAATTATGGTACACAGTTCAAAAGTACCCCCATATCTCAACACCAGATACCAAGACAGACCTCGATGTCATATTCCAGCTCTATACATTCACTAAAAACCAAATAACATATAGTAACCTTTCGGATAATTTTAGATCACATTTCCAAAACCATCTCTGTATGACGATCCCTCTCAGGCATAGACACCAATAATGACATCCATTTCAAATTTCAGAATTTCGGCTTTTTTACTTCGCCCAATACCCAATTTAATACTTTTCGTAAAATTGTAGTATTTATTTCCAAAACCACCATCATATCTCAAACCCAGATACCAACACAGACCTCAATATCAAAATTTCGAGATTCCAGGTCAGAGAACGGATTTCCAGAACTACCTACATTCCTTATTCCTAGAATGCAATAGTAATCCTATTTCTAAATTTTAAAATTCCAGCTTTATTGGTTCACCCAAATCGAAATTGTACCAAATTTAGTACCATTTGGTACTTTTCGTGCACATAAGTACAAATTTCGAAAACTTCCTCTATATCTCAAAGCCTACAACCCGCCAGTAATGTTAATTTTCCAGCTCCATCCCTTCCTCCAAATTCAAACTTACTAAATTTGGTACCCTCAAGTACTTTTTGTATACGTGCATACAAACTTCCATTAAAAACGTCCTTCCAAATCATCCAAAGTATCGACTCTACTCCTCAATCTTGATTCCCATTCCAAATTTCAAGTTGTTTGCTCTAACCGTTCCCCTGATACGGAATGGTACCAAATTTAGTACATTTTTGTACTTTTCGAAAACTTATAGTGCGAATTTTCAAAAACTCTTTGGTACATTTATCATTCACTTTGATTCCTTAAATAGTACCTTTTTATACTTTTCGTACCGTTCTAGAACGAATTTCCTTCGGACCAAGAGTGACTGTCACTCAAAAATTCAGGATTCTAGCTTCAGCCAATTTCAGTCAATTTGTTTTCTTTTTATACCCTACACCACATAGTGGTAAGGGTATTATGTCTTTGTGCATTTCTTTGCAACATGGATAAGGAAGCGAGATAGACTCATAGTTACTTCTGAGGATCTTCATAGAATCACTTTTTGAGTCGATTTATATATGTAAGCCCGTCTCTCCGTCTGTCCCTGTATTCTTGTGAACAAAAAGCAGGTCGCATTTATTATCCGATTGAGATGAAATTTTCCAAACAATATTTGTTTGGCCCATGAACGAACCTTATGAAAATTGGTGATAATGGGATCGGATTTAGATATAGCTCCCATAATTATCTTTAACCGATTTCGGGTTAATTGTACAACAAATGGCCAATATCAATCCAATAGTCTTGAATTTTGGTGCATTCCACCGAATTCAGTGTAGAAATAAGTACATCAAATTTAGTGAAAATCGGTTCAGATATAACTATAGCTCCCATATATATGCTTCATCCGATTTGGGGTTTTAAGTCCCTCACATGTGTAATATGCACCCACAAGAATGATATTTGGTACCAGATATTTTATAGAGCTCGGGAATATCTTTGCCAAATTTTATTGAGATCTGCTAAGATTTGGATATAGTTCCCATATACACACTTAATCCGATTTCAGGTTTATTGTGCAAACAATGACTAATATCAGCCCGAATGGAGAAAATTTCGGGACTTACGTTTCTATTTTGTGGAACTCGCCTCCGATATATATTTTGTTAATATAAACCTTCTAGAAGTGATATCATGCACTCTATAGCAATGTTATCTAGTATAAAAGCCTCCGTCAAAAGTATAAAAGCCTCCTATAAATAAGTTCCCTCTGAAACCTAATTATAACTGCTCCAAAGTCAAATGTTGATATGTGGTATGATCTACTTCAAATAAATTCTTTTGTTACGGGAGCTCTACAAAATATACATAGTGGTGTAGGGTATCAAATAGTCGGCCCTGCCCGACTTTTGTTTTTACTATAGATGAAATGCGACATAAGCATCAGATTCTCTACAAATTTCATGTATCTCAAATTTTTTGCTAACGCATGTTCCGATTTAATATTTTTTTCGATTAATATTATAAATTCCCCAGCAACAAATGTAGAACTGGCCTCCGCTACGCTCCCATATTTGTTTCCGTTTATAAGTATCACTTAGAACATATATACCTCTTTATTTTCCTCACAATGTAACACTAAACGAAATTCATTAGGCTTTGAATAATTGATGGCAATTACATGTTCTGGTTAAGGTGTAATAATTACATATTACGACTTATTGAACATTGACCATTACTGATACGTCTTGGTTAACTATAATTGTAGTTGCCCTCCGTTACGAATATGCTTAACACTGCTTCTATGCATGTCGATAATTGTGGTCTATATGACTTCAAATATCAACAAAGTTCCAACGAAAAGCCACAACGAATAATTGAATTCCTAACTGTGGCAGGTGCAGTTGTGTGTGTTATATTCTAATTGAGAATTGATTGCAACACCACAGTATTCAAGGACATGGAAATGTGCTAACAGAGATGACTGGCGAATTGTGGTTATCCATGAAAGTAATTTTAAATAACTTTGATTTCTTCAGAAAATCTTCGGATGTTTAAATTAAAAACTCCCAAAAAGATGTCTGATTTTTGGTCGTTTCTCAAGAATCTCCGAGTAATCTGCACAAAATCGACGACCTTCTTCTAATCTTTTAAGAGAAGGAGACCTTCTTCTGGTCTTTTAGGAGAAGGAGACCTTCTTCTGGTCTTCTATGAGAAGAAGACCTTCTGGGTTTCTATGAAAAGAAGACCTTCTGGGTTTCTATGAAAAGAAGACCTTCTGGTCTTCTATGAGAAGATCTTATTATGGTCTTCTATGAGAAGACCTCATTCTGGTCTTCTATGAGAAGCCCTGAAGGTCTTCTATGAGAAGTCCTGAAGGTCTTCTATGAGAAGTCCTGAAGGTCTTCTATGAGAAGCCCTGAATGTCTTCTATGTGAAGGCCTTCTGGGCTTCTATGAGAAGTAGACATTCTGGTCTTCTGACCTTATTCTGGTCGTCTAAGAGAAGACATTCTTCTGGTCCTCTAGGTGAAGGCCTTATGCTGGATTTCTATAAGAAGACCTTTTTCTGGTCATCTATGAGAAGACATTCTGGTCTTCTATGAGAAAACATTCTGGTCTTCTATGGAAAGACCTTCTTGTCTTCTATGAGAATACCTTCTGGTCTTCTAAGAGAAGACCTTCCAATCTTCTAAGAGAAAACCTTCCAATCTTCTAAGAGAAGACCTTCCGGTCTTTTAAGAGAAGACCTTCTGGTCTTCTATGAGAAGACCTTATTATGGTCTTCTGTGAAAAAACTTCAGATCTTCTATGAGAGGACATTCTGATCTTCTATGAGAAGATCTTCTGGTCTTCTTTGAGAAGACCTTCTGGTCTTCTATGAGAAGACCTTCTGGTCTTCTATGAGAAGACCTTCTGGTCTTCGATGAGAAGACCTTCTGGTCTTCGATGAGAAGTCCTTCTGGTTTTCGATGAGAAGTCCTTCTGGTCTTCGATGAGAAGACCTTCTGGTCTTCTATGATAATAACTTCTGGTCTTCGATGAGAAGACCTTCTGGTCTTCTATGAGAAGACCTTCTGGTCTTCTATGAGAAGACCTTCTGGTCTTCTATGAGAAGACCTTCTGGTCTTCTATGAGAAGACCTTCTGGTCTTCTATGAGAAGACCTTCTGGTCTTCTATGAGCAGACCTTCCGGTCTTCTATGAGCAGATCTTCCGGTCTTCAATGAGAATAAGTCCATCTAGTCTTCTATGAGAAGAAAACCTTCTGGTCTTCTGACCTTATTCTGGTCCTCTAGGGGAAGACCTTCTTCTGGTCCTCTAGGAGAAGGTCTTATTCTGGTCTTCTATGAGAAGGCCTTATTCTGGTATTCTATGAGAAGGCCTTTTTTTGTCTTCTGTGAGAAGACCTTCTGGTCTTCTATGAGAAGACCTCATTCTGGTTTTATATGAGAAGAAGGTCTGGGAAGGCCTACTGGTCTTCTATGACAAACCCTTCATGTCTTTTATGAGAAGACCTTCTCGTCTTCTAGGAGAATATTGGTCCCATATATTTTATATATCATTTTTTTCTGTTCATTGCCAATATTTGCTATATATAACTTGATACAGATGCAAGAACTCTACTACTGCAACCAAATGATGTGTATCACAATAGGCTCAATCTTATGTAATTTTCCTATAGATGTCTGTATATATTACCTCATTGATATATCTCTGTATATTTATGAATATCATGTATCACAGCTATGTTAATATGTTTAATGTTGTGGTTGTTTTTGCATTTAATTACCTGTATTTTGTCACAATCCGACCATGTCTTTAGTCGTGGCTCAAATTTCTTATCCTTCTCATTTGTACTGGGTGAAATTTTGGTTGTACTGCTGGTATCCTGTGTTGAGATCCAAACTAAATTGCCTTTTGGTTGTTTAACTAGGATCAGCGCATGTTTGCCATGGGGTACATCGTGCTGGGGTAGATGGACACATAATTTATGGTGCGTTGGCAGGCGATGTGAAGAAAAATAACATGAAAAAATAAGAAAGAAATCGCATGAGAATAAATTCGAACAATTTTAATGTTAAGTAGGTAGTTTTATTTTTAAGAAATTCAATTTCAAATTTTTAATATTGGAAAATTATTTTTTTACGAAAATTTATTTAATTTTTTTTTTAATTTTTTTCTCGCGAAAAAATATTATTTTAACCAGTTTTTCTTCTTTATTTCCTACGCTGTTAAAGTTTTACAACAATGCTATAATAGCTCTACACTCATCTAGATGTTCTACAAATTTGTTTATGCCCTAAGGTATCAAAGTGTTCTCTTTTTTCTGTGGCATTTGCCTGGTGTTGTTGTAACATTTTGTAGTTTTGCATTAGTTTTGAATTATGTTATTCGATTCAGCCAGACGTTGCCATTTCTCTTGGCTCTTCGTATTTCCACATCCGTTATATTAATTTAATTAAAAACTTGAGGTAGGTTTCTTTTGATAACCATGAAGTTTCTAATTAGTTTTCTCAAAGGTTGTGATACGATTAAAACATAAATGGAAATGTAAATAACAGAAAATAGATTAGGCCTTGGAAAAGTTTAGATAAACTATTTAAAAAGCCATGGCTTTGGGTCTTGTCAGAGACAAAGAAAGTTTGCAATTCATTTGAAAGATTCCGAACTTTGAATACCCTCCAATTCCCAAAGCTATAAAATCAGTTAAAAATTCTGTTAGAATCTTAAAAATATTGAATGTAGCTGTTATATTATGATCCATACGACGACATGGACCTGCATATATAAATTTTGTCATAATTCATTACAATAATCAAATGCGAAACTTAAAAAATCGGTGAATAATGTAGCTGAAATCATCAAAATACCGAATACCTGGAGGTACCATTACGAACACCTAATACCCAATTTGGAACAATTCCGGTAAATAGTGTCAGCAAAATCATCTAAATACGGAATATCGGGAGGTATATGGGGGCTATATGAAGAAGTGGACCCACATGGCCCATTTTCTAAATCGACATAGAATTATATGCTGATCAAGAATATATATATACTTTGCGGGGTCTAAAATGTTTATTTTGAGGTGTTGCAAACGGAATGACAAACTTAACTTACTCTCTACGCTATGGTATAAAAAACTGTAGAAAAAACCTTTCAAAGTGACCTATTATATGGGGGCTATATGTAGTCGTCCTCCTCAATAAGTATTTTTTGTCATAGACTTTAGTACCCATTATAAACTTTTACTACGAATATCAATTTATTGTTTACAAGCGTACAAAGGCATTTTGGTGAGTATTTTCCAGAAAAAAAGTTATTCGTGATGGAATTCAAGCGTGATAGTGTGAGATCTTTATACTTGGCTGGAAAACCACAAGTGGCTATCGTTAGAGCACTCCAGCATTTGCTCGTGAGCTCAACATAACGCAATATTCCATTCGGCAAATATTGAAAAATGAGCTCGGGTTAAAGCCATTAAAATTCCAAAAGTGCAAGAACTTACACCGCAACCGGAAGAAAATAGACTCAAAAGAGCTAAAGTGTTGCTTCGCTTGGCCGAAAGTGGTGAACTGCCGAATTTGGTTTTCTCCGATGAGAAAACATTCATTGTCCAGCAGTTTGTAAACAAACAAAATCTTCGTGTTTACTTGCCAAAGAGGTCAGCTGAAAATATGCACCTTCGGTTGGCCACCAGAACTCAAGCGCCGGCCATGGTGATGGTGTGGGCCGCCATAACAGCCGATGGGCGCTCTCCGCTCGTATTAATCGCCACGGTCGATCAGAATAAATGTCGAATATAATCGCGAAAATATTCTGGCTGTAGGGTGTATTAAAGCCTTGGGCTCGCAAACATTTTGACCGCAGACCTTCGACATTTCAACAGGACTCATCAAGCGCCACTCAAGAATGGTTACAAAATTAGATCCCTCGCTTCATTTCCAGCGCAGAATGGCCACCAAAATCTTCGGATAACAATCCGTTAGAGTATTGTGTCTGGAGTATCTTGAAAAGCAAGGCTGTCACTAAAAAAATACCAAAGTGTCGATCACCTCAAGCAAGCGCTTTGCCGGGAATCGGTCGTTTGAAGGCCATAATTCGTGCCAAAGGTGACCAATTTGAACCAATCTAAACTTATTCTTAAATTTAATGCTATTTCCGAAAATTTTTACTTTCATTCATAAATTAAAAAAAAAAAAACATGTAAAAATTATGGCGTTTGACTTTGTTGCAGTTTTTTCATCTCACCCTGTATGAAGACCCTAGAAACGAACAGTGAACTTAATATTAAATATCAGAATTTTAGCTCTATCCTTTAACCCAATACCAAATTATGTAACATTTAGTACGCATATAAAACATAATATACTTCTCTCCATCCTAGATATCAAAAGTGCTCTTAAATTAGTTCCATATAATACTTTTCCGTAAAATTACACCACCTCTATATTTCAATCCCAGATACCAAAAGAGACATCAATATCAGCTTTATCCCTTCATTCGATACCAAGTTAAGTATCATTTAGTACTTTTCCACAAACTCTTCCAGATCTCAATTCCAGACACCAAAATATACCTCAATATCAAATTTCAGAATTGTATCTCAACTCCTTCAATTAAGAAAAAATTTAGTACTATTTAGTAATCTTGGTACAAATATAGGATGCATTTTAAAGTCAGTAATATAAATCAACTCCAAATATCAAGTTTCAAAATTGTATTTCTATTTATTCTATTTTACCCAATATCAACGTTAGTACCATTTTAGAAACCAACACCATATCTCACTTCCAGATACCAACAGAGATTTCAATGTCAAATTTGAGGATTTCAGCCCTTTCAATTTGTCCAATGCCGAATTTAGTACTGCTTAGTATATTTCGTACAATTATAGTACATATTTACAAAACCGCGTCCAATCTCAATTCCATATACAAGCCGTGACATTTTAATCAAAGTTTGTGGATTCCAGCCCTATCCTTGCACCTAATACCAAACTTAGTATCACTTAGCACTTATCGAGCAAATATCCAAAACCACCTCTATATATCAACTTCAGATTCAAACAGTAACATTTATTTCAAATTTTAAGTTTTCTGCACAATTCCTTCACTAAATATCAAATTTGGTATCACTTAGTACTTTTCGTACAACTATGGGATGTATTTCCAAACCACCGCCAAATTTTAAACACAGATACCACCAGTAATCTAAATATCAAATTTCAGGTTTTCAGCTCTTACCTTTAACCCAATACTAAATATGGTACATTCAGTACTTCTCATACAATTATATTTCCAAAATCATCTCCATATTTCCAGGCTACAAATGAACAGTGAGCCTAATACAAAATTTAAGATTTCAAGCACCATCTGCTCACTCAATACCAAATTGTATTACTTTTTAGTACTTTTCGTACAATTGTTGAACACATTTCCATAATCATTTCTTTATCAAAAACTTACCACCAACAGCGATCCCAATACCAACTTTTCAAATTACCAGCCTTTTCCGTTAACACAAAATGGAATTGTATCAAATTTAGTAGCAATTAGTGCAGTTTTTACCACCTCCCTACATCAACTAAATTTCCAAGAATCGAGTTTCATACCTAAGATCAAAATGATACAAACTTTAGTGCATCTGAGTACTTTTGGTACACGAATTGTTAGAATTTGAAAAAATCCTTTAGTTTGTCTATCCTATTTTTAGGACGTATTTCCAAATTCCCCGCCCTATATTAACCAAACCGCATAAAATGTGATCCTAATGCAAATTTTAGACTTAAACTCAATCCCTTGGCCCAACAGCAAATTTAGTGCGATTTGGTACATTTTTAGTGCGTATTCCCAAAACCACCTCCAAATCTCAACCATACACACACAAACAGTGATCCTAAAGCCAAATTTCAGATTTGAAGCATTATCAGTTCACCAAATATCAAATTGTACCACATCTAGTACTATTTAGTACTATTTGTGCACTTGTAGTACACTTTTCCAACACCACATCTTTAGCACAAACCTATCGCATACAGGGACCCCAATTACAACATTTTAAATTACCAGCTTCTTCCGCTTACCCAAAATGGAATTTTAGCAAAATTAGTACTATTTAGTACTTTTCGTATACTTATAGTACATATTTCCAAAGCGATCGCCACATCTCCGCACAGCCTTCAGTATCAAGTTTGGGGATCCCATTACCCAATATGAAATTTAGTACCATTCAGTACTTTTTATACCCTACACCACAAGGTGGTCAGGGTATTATGTCTTTGTGCATTTGTTTGTAACAGGCAAAAGGAAACGAGATAGACCCATAGTTCCTTTTGATGATCTGCATAGAATCACATTTTGAGTCGATTTATGCATGTCCGTCCGTCCGTCCGTCTGTCCATGTATTTTTGTAAACAAAATACAGGTCGCATTTATTGCCCGATCCAGATGAAATTTTGCAGGGATCATTTGTTTGGCTCAAGGACGAACCCTATTGAAATTGGAGATAATCGGTCAAAAATTAGATATAGCTCCCATATATATCTTCTTCCGATTTGCCTTTTATTGTGCACCAAACGTGTAATATCAGCCCGAATTGTGTGGAATTTTGCATATAAACCCAAATTAGGCCTGAGAAAAAGTATGCCAAATTTGATAGAAATCGGTTCAGATATAGCTATAGCTCCCACATATATTGTTCATCCGATTTGTTATTTTTGTCCTCCGCAGCCGTAATATGCACTCTGCAACAAAAAATATTTGGGGAAATATATCAAATACAGCTCAGAAATACATTTGCCAAATTTTATCGAGATCGGTTCAGATTTGGATATAGCTCCCATATATAACTTCGTCCGATTTACCTTTTATTGTGCACCAAACGTCTGATATTTGGCCAAATTGGATGAAATTTGGCACTTACGACCGAATTGAGTCTAGAAGCTAGTATGTCAAATTTGATGAA